AACCAACACTAAATACCTGTTGGCTTGCGATAGGCATTTCTCCGGGAAAATGAAGATGGATAAGAAACTTGCATTGAGAGCCGTTCCTGATAGGAATTTGGCAGAAGCACCCAGTTCTGGTAGTTTTTTTTATCCGAATCCGGTTACGGAATTAGGAACTGTAGATTTTTATCCAGTCGAAGAAGATAGCTCGGAATCAGTTCAAAATTCCGGTAATCTTCTTTTGTTAGCGACAATAGCAGAAGAAGCCAAGGAGGAAATAATAAGCTCAGAGATAATAGAGGAAAATAGTAATATTTTTGAGAAGAGTACTCAAACGAATTTAAGTTTGACCTCAGGGATAGTTAGGCAGGAAAAATTAGAGGAGGAAAATCTAATATTGAAAATTAAATTAGAAGATAAAGAAAGAGAAATAGTTTATTTAAAATATCAGTTGGAAGAGTTAGCGAGGAAATTTGAAAATTTGAAGAGAGAGCTTAGGGAAATACCTGAAAGATGCGATAGGATAGGAGATTTTTGTAGCGATTTTCCTCCACAAATAGGATCAATAATTAGAAATAGTTTTAAAAACTCTAGCCGTCATCCCAAAGGTCGTAGATACGACAATTATTTTAAAACTTTGGCTTTGGGTGTATACTTTCTTTCGCCATTAGCTTATAGATATCTAAAGCCATTCCTTAGGTTTCCAGAAGAGAGGACTCTCGACGAGTTCGTTTCTGGGTGGCCCCGCGATCCAGGTTGTAATAATAGTAGCATTAAATGTTTAGAGCTTAGGAGTCGGGGCTTCAGTCATCATCAAAAGTTTGTGTCCATTTTGTGTGATGAAATGGCACTTAAGGGTCATATGCAATATTTGCGAAAATTTGATAAAATAGTAGGAGTTGAGGACTATGGCGATGAAAATCGTACATGTAGAATAGGAAACAGTGCTATGACTCTTATGGTACAAGGAATAGGTGGAGAGCCTTGGTCCCATCCCTTGTCTTACTTTATTGTCCATGGATCTTGTAGGGGTGATGTTGCCAAAAAATATATTTTTGAGGCAATAACACAATTACAAAATATTGGCCTTATACCTTGCCATTTCGTTTGTGACCAAGGGTCCAATTTTCTTAGTTTGGTTAGAATTTTAGGAATTTCAGAAAACCATCCATATTTTGAGGTAAATGGCAAAAGTATTTTCTTTTTTAATGATAGCCCCCATCTCTTGAAAAATACTAGAAATTGCCTAGAAAATTCAAAAAATAAAGTTGTTTTCAATTCGCGTTCAGTAAGTTGGTCAGATATAGTTTATTTTTTTAACAAGGATACACAAAATCCTATTCGGTGTGCCCCTAAGTTGACAGAAGCTCATATGTCACCGAATAATTTTCAAAAAATGAGCGTTAAACTAGCTAGTCAAGTAATGAGTGATACAGTAGCTTCGGGAATGCTATCAATTTATAGTTCGGGATCTTTAACTTGTTCGTCTATCACTTTTTTAAATACCGCGGAATATATTTTATTTATTAATAAACTGTTCGATATTTTTAATAGCAGTAGTTTTGATGCTATTTTGCCTTCTAAAAAGGTTTTTTCAGCGACAGCGGAGCAGATGCAATTTTTAGATGAGGCTGCTAGACTTTTGAAGACAATTAGGGTAGTAGATGATTCTGGGGCTGACATTACTTCATCCTTTAATTATATCAGGGGTTGGGTTCTAAATATAAGTAGTTTGAAACGGTTGTGGCGTTTCTTGTCAGATTCAGGATTCCAAAACATACAAACGAGACGGCTTTGTCAGGATAATCTGGAAAATTACTTTGGACAAATTAGGAGGGGTGGGGGACGGAGTGCTAGGATTACGCCGTACATGTTTATAAATTTGTTTAAAAAGTCTTGGGGATTGCGATACGCTAATGTAGTAACGAATGGAAACTGCCAAGCCAATACCCATATTGAGAATTTTTCTCCAGAACTTTCCAATGACGTACTACAAAGTGTGTGTAATGACCATCTCATACAGGACCTTTCGTGGCAGGAGTTTCAAGGTCTTCCACGACCCGAGCATACTTTTAACAGATTAAGGTTAGAAACATATAGAGAAGTGGAAGATGTAGAAGTAGATTTTTTGAGTAGAAATGCATTCGCTTATTTTAGCGGATACCTTTATTTGAAAGTTTTTAAAGCACACACTTGCTCCCAACCCTTGCCTTTTTCCGATGATGGAGACTCGCCAGAATTTTGCTTTATTGAAGAAAGACAGATAGATAGATGTAATTTAATAAAGCCACCACAGGGATTTTTACATTATTTAAAAGAGCTAGAAAAAATTTTCTTAAAAGAATTTGATTCCACTTGCCATAGAATAGGTGTTGGCCAGCTTTTATTTGATAAAATGTCAAATGTCAGCCCCTTTAGATGTTGTGAAAATTGTAATAGTAATTCCACCTTAGCGCTTTTTATTAAAATCCGCATTTTTTTTACCTTAAAATATTTTAATAGAGATCTTAGTGCCCCAAATTTTAGAACAAAAATTTTGTGTGTTTCACACCTTTAGGTTTTTGGTAGGGAAAATAGCATCAACAAAGTAGATATGTAAACTTTATTATTTCAAGGCAAGTTCTAGTATGTTGATATTTTCTCCTTGACTTCGATTAATATATTACTTTTCTTATACAGAACTGGGTGTTTAAAGCATTTTCCAAACTTTGTATTTTTAAAATGTATATATTGTAAATATTATCTATATTTAGTTTGTAAGTGTATTTATTGAATTATGGGTACAATTGAAATTTTTAATTTGTTTTAACTTTTTTGTTTATTAATGAAATACTTTTGTAGTTCATAACAATGAATCTCATTACTGTGATATTTTTATTTATGTAAATAGTTTTATTCCATTGAAATGTGATTTTCTTTTCTTATTTATGTAGTCATGCTTAAATATTAAAAATTATAAGCTTTTGTTGACTTATGTTTATTTATGTATATTTTGGTTACATACGTATTATTTTTTTTTTTTTGTTAATTTAATAAAGGGGTGATATAGGCCTACTGGGGAACCGAACACCCAAAAATAACATCGGTAACGCGCCATTTGCATACCTCAATGGTGGTGTGGAAATTGCAAATGTTCCAAAAATTAACAAAAAAATACCCAATTTTTTCTGCAGCTTAGTGGCAAGGTTGGAAAATGTTATAAAAAATGCACATTTTTCGGCGCTCTCACGAAAAAAAGAGTTTCGTATCTAGTCATCATTGGCGAGGGTAAGCCTGTATGAGAGTATGAGAGAAGAGAACATGCATTGAAAGTGAAAGCAAAAAGTAAGAATTAAAAAAACTGTATAATGCAACATCTAAAAATGAGACAAATTTCGGCCAAGCTTTTAATCAATTTTTTTTTTGTGAAAGTCAGCCAATCTTTTGGCTGGAGCTTTGGTTCAAATTTTTTATTGTATTTGAACAAATGTTTCATTACTTCACGATACCCTCGAAATGAAAATGAAAATAAAAATGTAAATATCGGATTAACAGCTGATACACTTCGCTTGGTAGTAATAGCTCTTTGCTGCCTAGGTGGTTAGTAGACACTTAGATGAGTGTAGGTCACCATTAGGGTAGCCGGTAAGTAGATATTAGAAAAAGTCAATGAGGGTGTTGACTACTTTGGATGACTGAAAGATTTATACATACTTATGCATGTACGTTTGCGTGTGCCGTCAAAGGTGGTTGATGATGGTGGTTGAATCTATTTCAGAATGATTGCAGAAAGGGAATTATGTTTGGGGATGACAGATTCGTATAATGCATTTTTATTTTGCTAATTACGACGGCAGATACAAACATTCGTGGATTAGAAATGCTGCAAATGCAAGTAAAAAATGGGTTTATTTTTTTATTTTTCAAAGCAAAATATTATCCGCTTAAAACTGATTGTTATATATTTTTCATTTAATTTATTTTTAAAACTGAACTGAACTCGTCAATCTCATTCGATCGGTGTAAATTTTGATGGGTCTATCTCTTCTCCTTTTGGTACATACATACTTTAGACCAAAGTTAATAAGCCATCCCACGTACATGAAAGGTATGAAAAATTTCTTTAGTTTGAGTGAGATTCTTGTTGAATTTTCCGTACCGAACGTACTCTGCGGTACCATCGGCGTTCGTGTTTAGCGCATATATTTGTGATTGCGTGTCCTTAGCATTTTGTAATTTTTCTCTGCTACCCTCGGGTGAGTGTGGCAAATTTGTAGCAAATAATGAAAAGTGCTTTGGAGGGGCAAGATTGTCAGCAACTAAGACAATGCATTTAAGCAGACAATAATTTATTTGTATTTTTTGAAGAGTTTTTCTGGAAGTAGGAATTAAATTTAAAGAAGAATTTTATGCGCAAAATACCGCAAGAACAATAAAAAATGTTAAACTTAAACCTTAAACTTGCTCAACTTGAACTTTCTTCTGTCTCCTATAATTAAATGTTGAAGTAAGGCCTTCTTGGCATTACTGTTTTACATCAAAAATTTCTAAATTAATTCCCCTTTTGAGTTATTAATTTATTTTTTTAAGACTTCCGAAAAAGGTAAAATATGCTCAATTCTGTTAATTATATAATGTATTTTATGAAAAACAAAACAACAAAGTCTACTAGAAAATAACGCCAGCGACAAGAAAGTTAATTAAATTTAATCAGGCGTCGACAAAGAATAAATATATTTATATATACTTATGTATATCGCTATCACTTTTTCAATGAACCAGCGGCACACGCGAAGACTTATGTACATATGTACGCATGTATGTATGTAGCTGAGGAGTAAAGTTTAAAATAAATAAAAATATAAACAAATTGTCTAGCTACGAGTATCAGTTTGCGCTCACGGGCGCTGAGTATCTTTGCACGCTCGTTTGCACGCTCACTGCTGAGCAGACAATATTTGTATTATTCCTCTGCTTCTTCTTAATTTTAAGCAGTTTATGCAAATTTCAATGTGTTTGTTGTTATTTATGTTACCTACTTTTCTCAGAATGCTCGTTATTCCAAAAATCCAGCGTTTTGGGGAATCCTAAGAAGCTGCTGCTGTTTGTACTTATATATATATATATTTCTTTAATTAATTTATTTTTTTTTTGTTTAAATTGGTATTTATTACTTGTTTTTCATTTATTAATTTTAGGAATTTATAATATTTTTATTTTATTTTCTCTATTTTTTACTATTTGTTACACGCTTTATGTACATTAACACTCTGAAATTTTACTCTTTATTTTGTTTGTTGTTGTAGAACTGCTCAAACTCTTATTAAACTCATTGAAGCGAGGTGAGCGAGCATTCACTGGCACATTATTGCATTATCTGTGAGCTCTCCAGCATTTCTGGTGTATCTCGTTTATTATTTATTTATTTATTCTAATTTATGCACCCACAAATTTATTTAAATAGTTTTTAATGTGATTTTTGTTCCCTTTTCATACACGCGTGTGTGCTGAATATACATATATATTTTTTCTTAAATATGAAAATTTTAATGAAGAACCGCACTTTTATGCACGAAAAGCGTCCGTTGTCTGCGGGCGACAAACACGCCGATCGAAAGCACCAAAAACAAGACACATAAATAACGAAAGACCAAGAAAATTTTCTTAATGAATTTATTAATTTCCTTTTTTTTTTGACCCTCAGAAGACGAAGTTTGTTTGATTCGCCAGACGCACAGCCAATAAGTCAACCTTTGTTTATTTGTTTGCGCGCAGCAAGTGATAAGCCCCCGTCAACCGTGTCAACCGTATCAACTGTTAGCACCGCAGCCCAACGAGCGAATAAATTCACAAAATGTTGTGAAAATATAAAAGCAAAAGTGCCATAAAGCCTGGTCTGCGCCGCCGCCGTCGTCGTCGTCGTCGCCAACTGTGTACGCTCAGCTGGTCGTCTTTGTCTGCGTTCGTTGCCTCCCAGCTCACAGCGAGCAAGCAAGAAAATAGGCGGATGTGGATGGTGTATAGTGAAATGTGTGTATCTCGTTTGTCGACTCAGTAGCTCAGGCGTTCAACTACGAGCACAACTGGAGGGGGGTGGACGGCGATGAGCGAGTTTAACTCACCAGGTATGTTTGGATATCGTCGTGTCTTTGAGCCACCGTAAGCGACGTGTGTGTGTGTGTGTATGAAGAGCTGTCGAAGAACCGATTTCCCGTTTGATACGACTCACGCTATCAATGGTTCGGCACAGTATTAACCAAAATTTGCGGTTTGTACGCGCTTTGCTGAGTACAACACATTCATACATACATATGTATATACATACATACGCGATACGACTTCTCTTCAAATATTTGAACCTTTAATGAATCCAAAGCTAGAAATCCGCTACTCGCACTCATTCGCAGCGTCAACAAATAAGTACTGGCCAAAGTGGCAACACGCAAATCTCATTTATGACAAAACGCTACTGCCTGGGAAGCGCAGAGAATGGCATCGACCACCGCTGAGTGCAGCAGCCAAACGCCGCCGCTCTGACTCTGCGCTCTAGTGTACAGAGTAGTCGTGTGTGTAGTTGCATTTTCAAGTTTGCATGTCTCTTTGTTCTCCTCTATATGCGTGTGTGTGGGTGTGGACTGTTCACTTGCTGGCTGACCGTTGATGCAAATGTTGCTAAACATTTTAATGATTTTACGTACACATTTCAATTGGATTTCATTTGGCGCAATGTTGATGCTGACTTTTCGATTCATATGTACAAATATATTATATATGTAGATTATGTGTGTGTGTGCGCGTGCATTATTTAGTACTGTTCATTGTGTAAATGGTTTGTAAATTTCTTATGAATGTTGTTTAACGGTAAATTTCATTAGCAATTCTATGGTTTTTATTGATCAAAAGAAAGCTTTTCAACGCAATTCGGGAGAGTATTGAACCAAAAAAAAAAAATGAAGGAAGAGTTAGAGAGGAAGGCTTTAGACATGTGGCTTTTAAAATAAAATAAATGAAATTATTTCTTATGGTCGAGAATTTAGTGACATAGAAAAGTGCTTGCCTTTATATTCCAATAAAGTTTTAGGTAAAGTAAAAGATTCGTTCGTCCGATTTAAGTCAAATATGCCGCATATTTTTCGTTTTGTTTTGTTCGCAAATTTATTGCCAACGAGATGCCAACTTCATTATACCCCTCTCGTAGAATGCTGCGCCCCTATTGGCAAACAACTCGGAGAGCCAATTTTCCCAGGCCTCTCTTGTGGCCAACTTCTTACCATTCAGAGCGTTCGCCATGGACAAGAAAAGATGGTAATCACTTGGTGCCAGGTCCGCGTCACCGAAGACGTGTGTGGCTTGGCGTTGTCCGGATGGAACACAATTCGGCCTTTGTTGATCAAAGATAGCCTCTGCTGAATGAGTTCTGCCTTCAAGCGGTCCATTTGTTGGCAGTAGAGGGCCGATTTGAGCGTTTGGCCATAGGGGAGCAGCTCGTAGTAGATGATTCCTTGCCAATCCCCTCAAACACACAGAAAAATATTCCTGGCCGTCAATCCAGTATTGGTCACCGTCTGGGCCACTTTCTCAAGTTTCGACCACGACCGTTTGCGCTCGATGTTGTCGTGAGTGACCCATTTTTCATCGCCAATCACAATCCGCTTCAGAAACGTGTAATTTTTGTTGCGATTCAGCTGCGATTCGCAGATAGAAATTCGGTCCATCATGTTTTTGCGCTAGTTCGTGTGGCACCCAAAGTCGAACTTCTTTTTGAATCCAAGGTTATCACGTGGCGGTCTGTTTCAACTATTTCGCGGGGTGCATCTTTGACATCGAAGTTACCGAAATGGAACCTAGAAAACCACTTTTGTGCTACAGGTTCGTTTACAGTATCGGGTTTATAATTTTTTTTTCAATTTTTTCGACTACATGAACATTTAGACACGAAATGTCATTAAACATGACTGAAAAAAGTTTTCTTGTGAAAATCGGGGTCAGTGGTCAACGCGTTTTGCGCCCATTCACCGAACACGCGAAGCGCTTGACGGTCGTTCGGCTGCAATTCTTGCACAAGTTGTGTTTTCCAAACGCGGAGGGACTCATTCGGGTCTTCTTCGTTGATCTACTCAGCGGCAATGGCGTGTTCGGTGCGCACTGTACGACATTTTTGGGCATGCACATAATCCACTAGAGTCAACGTGGTGCGAGACCGATCCAAGTAGCAGTTGCTCGGACTAAAAATCTACGAAAAAGTATTGCCTCAATGAAAATCACTCGTTTGAAAAAAATATTCTTTATAAACAGGCGATGTAGAGAGTGGATTACAGAGTTTGGCTTAGTTTCACCTCGTGAAATCTTTTATATTAATCAGTCAATGAACGACTATGTACCCAAATTAAATATTCAGAACTCACTCTTGGGTTGAACCTTATTTTCGTGGATGTATGATAGTCTGAGGAAATTATCGAGTAAACTTTTCCTCGATATCTTTTGTACATCTCCAGCAATATGTGTCAAGCCGCATATTCTGTTTGACCAAAAGCGTTTGATCTATCTTGAGGGGCGCTGGAAGATTCGTAAATATGTCCTTATTTGTGTCCAATATCTGCCAGCTGGTCTGAAATCTTTCTGTTCGGGAGAAGACCAAAGTGGGCCAGAGCTCGAATAGTTAAATACTACTGAGAGAAAGGGAGACCAGAAGGTCAGAAACTCTTCAGCTAGTCATGAATGCACTATAAGAATATCCAAGGTCCGCATAGAGGTCTGGCAGTCTGAATAAACCGCGTCCTCTGCTGCCTTTAATTTTCATATACTTGTTGCTTTTGTATGTATGTACATAGTACATACGAACTTAAGACAAATAAGTGAACTTTGAACCGAGAAACGATCTTTAAATCACTGACTTAAAAAAATAACAATAAATTAAATAAAAAGCTTGAGTTTGCTAAATTCAAATACACACACACACACACACAAGCTTACGTAGGTTTTTATTGCTATTTGCTTGCTGCTGATTACGAGCAAATTCTTCATAGCTGCAAATTCTGATTAGACGTTGTTCGGTGCATGTGCCCTCGTCGCAGCAATGCGCGAGAATAGCATTGTTTAACGGTAATTGCTGAGGTTGAGATATTTTCCCTTTCTTTATTATTTCTCTTCCTTATCTTGCTCTTAATTGAAGGATTTGTTTGCCATAGCAAAATTTGTGCGATTCAAGTCAGGTATGCAACATTTTGTTCTATTGGCTTATACCCCTGGGAGGGTAATGCCGTTATTTTCCTCTCAGGTTTGAGGATTAGGCTTATTTTCCGACACCCCAACGAAATCGCCCAAACCAAAACTGTGCATTATTGACTGTTAGACGTATTATAATTTAAATATATTTTTTGACTCTCGTTTAGCTAGAACTATTTTTTACAAATACTTTTACAAAAAATAATTAAAATCATCTCTGCCATAATATAATAACTTTACAGGCGTCACAATAAGTTATGAATGAGAACTTTGTACTTTTGTACCCATTTCGAGCTGTGACATAACCTAAATGAGCAGAATTAAAGCGAGCAATTAACCATTAAAAATTAAAAAAAAAATATTTCAAAAATAACGAATTTTATACAAATGGTAAATGAAATGTGAAACGCGGAACTTTTATATCTATGAAAATAATGAACTAAAAAATTATTAAAGTCAGCGCACATTTTCGCCATTATTTTTATGTTCCATCGCATGACGTTAGCTCTTTTAAATGAACCTCGAGTGCAGCTGCACTGAGCTCAACAAGCCAGTTAGCAGTTAGCACTACGGTATTTATTTATTTTAAATAAAGGCCTTATTTATTTATAGGAAAATCTAATGCAATTACAATTTTTGATTACATAAACGAATTCTGCACTTTAGGGTGGACCAAAATAATCAAATTTCATATGAAGTATTTATATTTATTTTGCATCTCGATTGTAGGCAATTAAAATGATTTCTTTTATATACATACGAGGGTTGCCTCTTATGTTTCGGGCTAGAGATCAAAAACTAATATTAATCATCGGAAAGTCGCTTTATTCAGATCTATATAGTTCTTCATGGGTTTTAACCAACTGTCGAAGCTCATTTGCCATTCCGAGAGAGATATTTTCGAAACATGCGTTCTGAAAGCATCAATTGCCTTTTGAGGTGTCGAATAACGTTGATCTCTTTTTGTATATTATACTCCCGGAATATAAAGAAGCCATTCGGAGCTTAGGAATCATTTGCTTCGAAGAGCTTTTTTTACATTCGGCTCATCTTTAAAAACCTTAACGTCGATTGGTGTTTATTTTTAATTCTATGGTTCATCACCAGTCACGATGCCATAAACGTATTTCGAAACGCAAGTACCGTGTGTGAGCCTCTTTTTTTCGACCGATTTAGAAATTGTGTGGCATGCAACATGAAATATTTTTTTCACAGTCAAATGTATTTCATGCAACTTGTCTTAAGTTGTCTGAATCTCATGATAGGTCATATGACGACCGCAAAATATCAGCTTGCGCACAGCTTCAATAGTTTCTGGAACAACAACTAAATTTGACCGACAATCACGAAATTCGTTTTGGAATTATCTACCATTTCGATTGAATTGACCATTTCATCGATAAAGACTAGTCATTGATGGAGCTTCTACATCTATTTTATTATGTTGCACGGGATATCACTTATCTATGGGATTTTCGCTTGTTTATTTAGCGAACACCAGTTTAAGCAAATGACGTTGTCAAAGGTACAGCTGCATCGTCGGTTTATCCAGATCACGACGGTATTATATTTGTTCAAGAAAACGTTCCGATCACTTCTATCTTTCAGAACCGCTTTTGAGGTCGCGTAGTTACATTTTTAGAGATTTAATAATATAACATAATCGATTTACCCGGACCGTCGATTTGAACAGCCATTTGGTGTCTTCAGACTCATTTTGTTTGAGAGTATCCGAGAGAACTTATTCCCCGCTCTTTGTGTTTTCCTGTTCGTTCTTTCTTGGGATTCTTGAGAAAAAGAAATTGTGAAATCAGATTGAGGGTGGTGTGGTCCAGCTCTCTCTGAACTTGTACGAAAGACAGTTCGAGTTCCATTTAGTCTAATAGCCTTGTAGTTCGCTACGAATTTGCCACATATGGCTACAGGAAGGAAGTTGGGGAGAGTTTTCAGTGCCTTAGAGAGAGTTGATTGTAGAGAACTTGTTATATGCATAGGTGCAGATCGCCAAACTCTGCCTAGTTTGGTACTGAAAGTAGCTTCAACAAGAAAAGTATATATTCAGTGGACAACATTCGGTTTTATACACCGCCTCTTACAGACGTAGAGTTCAGCCATAGTCTACTACATCCTTTCAGCCGTATTTTGGTTTCTATTAAGATCTTAGCAGACAGAGTGATATTTATGGCTTCTAATATGGG